TTTATTCATTTAGCATTAACCTACTTTGCTGTCATTATTGCTTATTACTTTAATCTGCATAAGTTTCAAAGAAATAATGTCAAAGAATTAGTTTCCCATCACAATTTTGGGAATGGATAAGGGCCAGATATTGAGTGGAGGCATTGCAGTAACAACACTTAATTATTCCTTATTATTTTCTCTTCCAGAATGTAGAGTAAGTTCAGACCTCCCTTTAGCCCTAATTTTGAGGTTTCAATTTATTTGTTCTCCAGTTCTTTGTTGCTTTCCTTGACTTCTGTTTCTGCATCTTCTTTTATGAACAAGTGGAAGTCCAAGGGCTTCATTTATAAATTCCCTAGCATTTTCTTGAAATAAAGGAACAGATCATCTAAGATTTTATTTCTATGTATTATGTTGATCTTATTCTAAGTTTTTTAAAATTCTATTTATTTTCCCTGAAGAACTCTGAATTTTCATCAAGTCATTTGCAGAGTTCCTTTTTTGAATTGTGTCACCAGACCATTTTTCCTCCTCTGAACAGTAACACATTTTTCTCACGTTTTCTCGTCTTGCAAAACAATCATTAATAGACTTTTCTAACAGATGTAAAGATATTTAGATGAACTATTTTTTTAAACATTGCTATCCAGGCTCTGGTGGCTCATGTCTGTAATCTTAGCAACTCAGGAGGATGAGATCTGAGGATCTTGGATAGAGGCCAGCCTGGGCAAGAAGCCCTTGAGACTCTTATCTCCAATTAAGTACCAAAAAGCCAAAAGCAGAGATGTGGCTCAAGTTATAGAGTGCTAGCCTTGAGCAAATGGCTCAGGGACAGTGCCCAGGTCCTGAGTTCAAGCTCCAGGATTGCCACACAAAATACTACTACTGCTACTACTACTGCTGCTGAAATAAATAGTACTAAGTGTAACAAAATAGTTCAGGACAAACACTGAAAAGTACATTGTTGAAAGGTAATTAAAGACATAAATAGTCGGGTGCCTGTGGCTCACGCCTGTAATCCTAGCTACTCAGGAGGCTGAGATCTGAGGATCATGGTTCAAAGCCAGCCCCGGCAGGAAAGTCTGTGAGACTCTTATCTCCAATAAACAACTAGGAAACTGTAAGTGGTGCTGTGGCTCAAGCGGTAGAACGCTCGCCTTGACCTGAAGAGCGCAGGGACAGCGCCCAAGCCCAGAGTTCAAGCCCCACAACGGACCAAAAAAAAAAAAAAAAAGACATAAATAAATGAAACCCTTACCTGTGTTAAAAAAAGAAAGAAATTCCTGAAGGTCTTTTGCAAAATACCTTTTTTTGTGGTCTGATTTTATTGTTATTTTATTCATTTTTTTATTGTGAAAATACTGCACAGAGGGGTTACAATTACATGGGCAAGATAATGAGTGCATTTCTTACCAAGCATTGTTGCCTCCTCCTTTGTTTCCCCTTCCCATGCTTTCCCATCTCCCCTATCCAATGCCCAAGGAATATTTGTTGTTTTGTTACACAGAATTAAAACAGAAGTCAATTTTATTCCCAAAATTTAACTCAGGAACCCACAATCCCATTATCCAGTTTATAAGATATCCACAATCCCATTATCCATTTTTATTAGCTAATCTGAAATCTAAGAAATTGTAAAAATAATTGTGCCAACAGCAGCTCACGATATGAAACACCACAATACTGGATAATTTAGTTGTCATAGAAAAAAATTCAGTCCCCAGACACATTGACTACCTTTCTGCTTGTCAAAGGCAGATTGGATGACCTAGCTCCCCTAGAGGGATACTGGACTAGCTCAATTACAGAGAAAATCTGGCCCCAATGGTAGCAAGGAATGACACATAAGAGAATGTTAACACTTTTATTTTCAAAAGCTGGATATTTCATATAACACTTTCTGAGAAAATAATTAAGATAAGTTAAACGAACCATATATTTTAAACACAGTAAGAATGCGTAGAAGCTTTCACATGAGTTTACTCAAACTTTATTTAAGTACAATGCAATTAAATTGGGAATTTTCATGGATAATTTCTGCCTTCACAAAATCAAAGCTCTTTTGCAGGTTTTTAGCCATTTATTTTCTTAAAATTTCCAGTCTCTATGTATGGTACTAGGGTTTGATCTCTTAAGTGGAAGGTAAGTTTCATAGAAGGTTATGAGTTATATTTTTTGAGTGTTACATATAGCACTAAAGGACTATTTGCCTTCTTATGACCAATAGAAAATAAACTAATACCAACAGAAAAGGAAATGGGGACCATCTAAAGGTCTTATCTTGTTCAAGTAGCACTCACTTTGACATTCAAGTTCATTCTTCATTGAAAATTATAATTGCTTCTAATCCCCTTAGAAGAGGAAAACAGAACGAAATGTAGAAATGTATAGGTAGGTGATTCTTTAGCCTTCAGTGGATCCACATTTTTGGCTGCAAAAAACTACATCAACCCCTGAGCCTTTTGTTTTATTCTGGCTATGATCACATCACCTGTTCAAAACTAAAAATTGTCCTTGAATATTATCCTTTCTTTCACCACAAAAGAATTGACCAGCACCTTTCACAATGAATACACATCATATATATATATATATATATATATATGTATACATACATATATATATATGTACACACAGACACATACATGGAGAATGAGACAAAACATTTATAACCTCTGAACTTTTTAGGTCGACATATACATCTCCGTTCCTAGTTCTAAAATTGTAGGTCTCTAGATAAGTTCTGGAATCTCTCTGTTTACTGAGTTAGTTCATGGCAGTGTTTTGCAAGGTCTGTAACTTCCCTCACCCTTTTCCTAGGACCCCTATAAGCTAGTTAGTCCAGGGTTAATTTTCACTTCAGCTTCTTCCATTTAAAATTTTATATCATGAGGTTCTATTATGTTTAAAAAGGATTGATCCAACAACTCAAACACCCACACACAGAGAAGAAAAGTTTCCATCTCATAAAGCGAACATTCATCACTCAGTCTTTTAATATGCCATAGAGCATTCCATTTAGAATTTCCCTTAAAATATATATTCTTCACATGAAGCTGTCATAAAAAAGGAGAGAATATCTTCTCTGATTTCAAAGCTATCAAAGTAGATTTAAAAAAAACCCACAAAACTACTTCCCAAACCCCAGGGGTAGTTTACTTGAAGGGCAAGTACATTCAATTGGGAAAAGTCAAATTTGATTTATATTTGAATGTTTATCAGTAGTACCAATAAATCCAACTGACTGATGATGTGAACAACTACTATGAGCGCTAATTATAGCACTGTAACTCAGTAAAGTAAAGCTGCAGCCCATTGTCTCAATTACTGAGATCACATGGGCAAGTTGTTTAATTTGTTTTGTCCCACTATCTAGCCAACAGCTTTCCAGGACACATATTTTCAAGAATGATTCAGAATCTGTTGCTGTCTTGAAGCCATATACTAGAAAAGGTAGCCAAGAAGTAATTGCATGTTATACTGAACAGAAAATAATTTGGGGCTTCAAAATATGTTTATGAAATGAAGCCTGCCTGCCCATTGTAGAAAACTTAGTCAGTTCATGTGAAAATATCTATTACCTGAAATCATAGATAGATAAAATCAGTGTGTGTGTATGTTATGCAACATTATGTCAGTAATGCACTTGTTACAGTTTAGAACCTTCTTCTGGTCTCTGCTGTTCTTGTATATTATTATTATTATTATGCTAGAGCAAGTGATTGCTATAAGGAATTCGTAATTGCAACCATAATGTTCCTGGAAATGCTAAATAATGTCTTAATTTTAATTCATGAACTTTTATTTTAAAGCAATTAAACTTATTGTTGATTGATATTTTCCATTCCATGTTCCTGGAATTGTTAAAGAATATGCTTTATATATATTCTTCCATTGCTTGAAAATGGTTATTTGTTATTACAGCATTCAGTTGAGTTTTCAAACCAAAGGACTGAAATTACAGCAATTTCACTTGAAATCCATAAATCCATGCAGAGGAGTGTGTTGAACAGAATCACTAGATGCTATTTGTTATGCAAAGATGAGTGAATCAATAGAAAAATAGGAGGAATAGATCATTAGTACTTTAATGCAGAGTAGAGAGGAAAACTAATAAATCATGCATTCCAAGCACTAGTTTTCCTTAATGTGTGTTTGAACACATAAGACATGCAATGTTGAGAGGCAGGTCAATATGAATGAACAATATCCAAGTTTGCTCAAGGTTATTTTACTTTATACCACAGGCTTAATGAAATACTAAGAAAAGTAGAAATCTTATGATTTCTTTAAATAACCAGAGAATTCAACCATGCAATGAACCCTTTAGACAGTGATTGAAGTCATTGCATGTTTTCAAATAAACAACTGGAATGTCACAGGGATGGGATGGGTAGGTGAGTAGAAGAGGGCTAACTGCATGCATGATTTGCTTCAATGAGCTCAATGTTGTGATGTTGTTGCAGGGACCAATTTATACTAGAAGGCACCTGATACAATCATTTACTTTCTTCAAGTGCACTGAACTGATCAATTAAAAGTGATATATACCAATATTTGTAAAGGATCTAATAACCAAAGGGTTGTTAATCCTAACAAATGGTTTACTCACTCAATCTTCTAGTATTTAAATTGTCATAAAATTAATCACATGAATCATAAATTCACTCCACAATGCTGATTTGATTATGCGGTAACTCATTTCTCTCAAACATCTTTCCTCGAATCTTTTGGTGGGAAACACATTAACTAGGTACATGATTTAAAAGACCTATTTGTTTACTGGTACAATTGTGAGTTTTCTTCTGGATTTTCGTACACAAAAGAATAAATCTTGTCCTATTACCATAATTTACTGCCAAATAACATATTTTTATTCAGCTTTTTGAATTAGTAACTAAGCCTAACAAAATTAAAAAACAAAAAAGCTTTTCTGTTTTTCTGTACAAGAAAACCCTATGCTGGCTTATTTTAATTTCTACTCAGAGAATTAAGATGCTGAAGGAAAAGTATTCAGGTATAGTAAGGTATTACAGTCAACTAATTAATAAAAGAAAATCTTTAAAGTTTTAAGTCATAGGTCAATGGTCATTGATACTCTGATTCTAAAAAGAAGTCTAGCAATTGGCACATGTGATCATTGTAGGATTATTGATAAGTACTTATTAATGATTGGAGCCACATTGAGAAACATGATTCCTACGGTATTTCCTTTTTATGTTTCACAGGTTGGGAAGTGAAGATGTAGTAAGATGGGTGGGAGACATAAAAATCTATGGGAATGCATGCAACCAAAATATGCAGTATCACTTCATGTGCACTTCTGCTGACTTCATGCAATGATGCCTATAAAAGTAGAGACAATAAAATTTTTAAGAGCTGGATTTCATATTAGCTCAGTAACAAAATGGTTAAACCAATTCCAAGATTTTGCATGAGCAGGAGACACAAAATGGTTTAAAGAATCCCAGCATAAATGTTCCATGGACCCAATTGTACTCATTGGTTTCCTACAAATGGAGTGCTAGAGAATCATTCTTTGCTTCGGTTTCTTGTTCTTTTAACCAGGGAGCAGAATAACCCGGTTTTTGGAGGAGGGCCCATTAACATTGGAGCTTGGTTCTTGTGTGTTATTTTTATCTAGGAAAAAAGAGAGAGAGAGAAAGAAGTAAAGCAAAGCAATTTACAATGCAATATCTGAGAATCTCTATTAAAGTCAAAAGTTATTTCATAAATTACCAAATATTTCATTAATGCCAGAAGTTCAAAATGAAGTTTCAGAATTTTATTAATGAACATTTTAAAAGGAAATAACATTGTGCATTTAAATAATATTTCCATGCCAAAGGTACTACTAAGAGAAAATAAAGCCTAGCAGAAGCAAAAGTCTAAATATCACATTATCTCTAACCTCATATATAATAGTATCATACTCCAAACTCCATATTCAGGCTATTTGCTTATCCAGTATAATTTATTGCCAATTAGTTATATATTATTTATTGAAAGCAGGAAAAGATGCACCATTACTCATATATACTTAGTATCAAGCAAGTCTTATTTATCTTGCTAATCAGATTGTTTCTCTCTTTCAACACGAACTACACAGCTTAACTTCAAAACAATCATTAAGAATGAAAGTCAAAAGTTAACATGCATGAAAGGTCAGAAATGATGAACTAGCTTTCTAATTCGTTAATTAATTGGTAATAGAATACGATCAAATATTGAAAAGCCTGCTTAAGACTCTTGGAGAGACTGTTATAAAGCTACTCGTTTTGATTTCTTTGATATAAAACTACGAATCACCTTAAATGAGACAACCTTAAAGTAGATTATGTCTGCAATTTTCTCTAATTCAACTCTAAATTAGGGAAGACATTTTATGAATATATGCTATGCTCAAAGCTAATTGAAAGCAATTATGAAAGTGGCATTTTGTCTGTGACTTTAAGATACATTGTAAGATAATAAATGATTCTCATTATGTAATAAAAAGGTCATATCTTGCCTTTGGGCTAGTGTCACTAAGAGTTTTTCAAAAGCAATCAGAGACATTTTCTTTAGTGAACTGCAAGTAATCCAAGAACCATCGCTTATTAAATATCAGTTGTCACCTGCACAGCCTTCGAAACAGAGATGAGTATTTCTTTCAGAAAGAAACACCATCTCATTAAAAGCTGCAAAGAATATATCTCTTAAAGTGCATGCCTGACATTTTCAAGTTAAAATGAATATCCTTCACTTGTCATTCACTAATAGCGATAAAACAAAAAAAAAGTTTGTCACAAGGACAAGATCATTAAAATCAGTAGCTAGGGCTTTTGGGAAAAGGAAATTCACCTCATAGTCTAGAAAGAGAGAAGTATGTAACAAAAAAAACCCCTTGAAATAATGAACAACTTTATTTAAGTCTGTTGGAAACTGATTATACTGGAGATTCCGTGTTCTTCTTTTGACTGTAAAAAATCAATTGTACTTGTAAAGGCCACAAAGCTAAGCCAGGCTCAAATTCTCTGGATAGCCGACTTTACTTCTGACATCTCATGAACTGGGAATTAATAGCCAGACAGTGAAGATGTCCAAATGACCCCATCTATGTAGACTGAAAATGGTCTCTCCCAGATTTTCTATCTTAATTATTCACTATTACGGTACACTAACCCTAAATTGTAAACCACTGGTTTTTAAACTTCTCTCCATTCTTATTTTAAATAGATTCAAATATAGTGGTATTCATTACTCATCCATTTCACAAAGTTTATTCAGCTCCTATTACACTTCAAAAATTATACCAGAAACTGAGAATCAAATAGATAGCACATCCTCTCTTCTCCCCAGAAATGATTGTCCTATAGAAAAGAGAAACTGAAGAAGTATATTCAATACTGTAAGTTGAAATAGGAGGCTGAGCACAAAGGTACACTTTTAAATTCTATAAATGAAAATGAATTGTTTTACACAAAGTATTTTAAATGAGTACTTGGGGAAGCAGCTTTCCTATATTACTTGTACAATAACTTCAGGTTCAAAAAACTAGTGAATAAAATCAGAAGAGTGTTCTGATTTACAGGTGCTGGATTATTTTGGAATGTAGATAGTATTAGGATATTTTGGAAAATGAGATGATTAGTACCAAATAAGATTTTCAAAAGTATTCACCTTTGCTACTCATTTATATGAAATATGAATCAGTTTGTGACAAAGTAAAATATTTCACTCAATTGCTGCATATGAGATTTAGTTTTTTTTTCTTTTTTTGTAGGTATTTGGATTTTATATGATTATGACTATTCTTATGTTGGCCATCTTTTTATTTTTTTGAAGAAATCATTTGTTCTTATTCCTTTGAAAAATAGCACTTTCTGGGCTGGGAAGTTGGCTCAGTGGTAGAGCGCTTGCCTTGCATGCCTGAGGCCCGGGGTTCAATTCCTCAGCAACACATAAGCAAAAAGCAAAAAGCCGGAAGTGGCGCTGTGGCTCAAGTGGTAGAGTGCTAGCCTTTAGCTGAAGAGCTGAGGGACAGCTCTCAGGCACAGAGTTCAGGCCCCATGACCGCCCCCCCCAAAAAAAAAGAAAAATAGCACTTTCGCACTTAGTGATTATTATATAATAGGGACTTTAACTCATATATGGTCTAGTTTCTGGTTCCAAAGTAGTTTAACAATGGCCTGTCCAATTTGCGATTAGTTATAACCTAATTTTGAATGTGTGTATGCTGCTATTGGGGCTTGAATTGAGGCCCAGATAACTGCCTTGGCTTTTTCATTCACAATTGGCACACTTGAGCCATAATGCCAGCTAACTTTTTTGTTGGTCAATTGAAGATAAGTCTCTTGAATATATCTGCCTAAGCTAGCTTCAAACCTTGATCTTGAGATGATCTCAGCTTCCTGAGCAGCTAGGACAACAGGCATAAATCACTGGAGCCTAGTTTAGACATAAACTATTATTTTGAGTGTTTAAACTCTCCTACCATCAACATGCAATATTCCTTTTTAGTCTAAATTTATTTCTGTAGAGACTAAATTCATACCCCTTTTGTCTGTTGCTTATGGAAATGAAAAACAATAGATTATATTTTCCTCATGATCAAGGAGAATATATGAAAGAAACTAAAATACACAACATGTCTAGTATATGTGAAAATTCCTTTGAAACTTTATTGTATGTGAGATAATTGCATGTCTTTCTATACTTGGGTGGAAGTAACTACTCCATTAAGAATGAAGTTAAAATGTCTGCATAAAAGTGAAGGGCATTATTTTAAAATACAAAAGAAATGTTGTCATCATCAGAAAGATGTTCTTCTAAGGACACAGTTCATTTCTTCTAATCACCTACTCTTCTGGAAGGCCTCCATTGCAAAGAAAGATGTTTTTATTGCTATGACTCTCCCTGTTTTTGTTTTCCTATCTCAAATGGATTGGCCATATCTATAACTAGAAAGCTGAAAAAAATTGATAATTGTTCTATACGAACTAAGGATATACATAAAAAACCAGTAACCAATGTGATTTTCCTGTTTCTATTGCATTGTTAAGGTGGAGTAGTGTAATAGTTTTATCTCATAATTTCAATATTATAAATAATACATCCTATGATGATGTGTCAGTTAAAGTATCAATAGTAAAACAACTTTTATTCGGCTTTTATGGTACCAAGTTTCATTCTAAATGCTGTATGCATGTTTACCAGGATGCTAACCATTTCATCCAACTCCTTGAGTCATTCTCAGGAAAAAGCTACTTGCAGGAGGAACTATTACTAAAAAGTGTAGACTTGAAGGATGATTTCATAAATATCACATATTTCATAAAAATTATATAGAGGTTGCATACATTTTTTGTAGGGGGCTATGGTAAACGGCTTTAGGCTTTATGGATTATGGAGTCTCCATTATTCCAATCAACACAGTCATTATAGACTAATGTCAGGCTTGGATTACTAGTAAAATAACTGAGGATAACCACGTTCCCATAAAAATTATTTGTGAAAACTAAAAGTTAAAGTTTACATAACTTTTACACCATGGGATATTACTCTTCTTTGGAGATTTTTCAAGCATCTAAAGAAAGTGAGCTATTGTGATCCTCTTCTAGGACTATCCTAGCCATATACATATGACCATATAAGATGATGCTAAGCAAAATGGTCTCCAAGATATGGAAACAAGAGGTTTTTCTTTGTTGTTGTTGTTTTTAATGCACTGTGTGAAGTTATTTCTTTTTTCTTTCATTTTTCCCCTATTGTAACTGTATTTTATTTTGGTACCCTGTGTCTTGTCTATACATTTATCTGAATTGGGGAAGGGGAGGGGAACAACAAAATGGTGAGACAAAAGACAAAGGGAGAACCAATGTGACAGTGATACTCACAAGACACTATGTTGCAAATGAACTTTACAACCTGGAGGGCAAGGGAATGGGGGAGGAGGGAAAGTGGGAAAAAAATGATGGAGGTGGTAACAATGTTTGACAAGAAATGTACTTATTACCTTATGTATGTAACCTCTCTGTATATCACCTTGACAATAAAATTAAATTAAAAAAAATGAAAACAAAGATAAAGTGAGAAGGATTCTTAACAAAAATACGAATCTAAACAGATTTGGCATTCAGGTTATAATTTGCTGAGCTTCGATGTAATTAAGTAAATTATTGAGTATTAAGTCTACAGAGCCATGAGTAATAAAACAATAGAAATTTTATTTTTAAAATCACGCTTTATTGGAACAACAGGTGAAAGATGAATGTATGTGGAGATAATTTCTGTGGTATATATTTTACTCTAGTGCTACCATTAGAATTTATTCAGTAAAAGAATCTGGATTGGAATACATAAAAACAGTCCCCAATGGGGCTGGGAAGGTGGCTCAGTGGTAGAGCACTTGCCTTGCATGCTCGAGGCCCTGGGTTCGATTCCTCAGCACCACATAAGCAAAAAGAAAAAAAGCCGGAAGTGGCGCTGTGGCTCAAGTGGTAGAGCACTAGCCTTCAGCTGGAGAACTGAGGGACAGCACCCAGGCCCAGAGTTTAGGCCCCATGACTGACAAAAAAAAAAAAAAGTCCCCAATTTTAGTGATGTAGTAACTGATCAAATTTGGCTTCAGTGGATGATCTCTTTAACTGATTTTCCTT